CGTCACGCCCACCGAGCCTGCTGCTTCCCCGGAAGCCAGAGCTCCGCCCCGCCCGCTACCCCGGGGCACAGTCCAGGTTCCTCTGGCCCCTACTCGGTCCTTGTGAGTGTGAGGTCTCACTCCCAGCTCCACCCTCTGAGACACCCCCCCTTCCCCCCCAGTTACCGCGTCCCCCTGACGTCATTCTGACCGCTGCCTACCTGGATGACGTAGTCCTGGGAGGTGAGGTTAAACCAGACACCCCCGAGGCTGAAGGACACGGGAGGGAGCGTGGGGATGATCGAGCACTCGATGATGTACTGCGGAGGAGAGGGACGAGTGGAGGTGAGGGCCCCAGGGCCGTAGGTGACTGGGCAGCTGGGTATTCGGAACCTGGGAGTCGGACCCCGCTGCCTCCTCTAGCCTTCACATCTCTTCTGTCACCCTGTGTGCTTGTCGCCACAGCCCCTGGCCTCCTGTTGCATCAGACCTTCTTTTCCTCTAATTGTAGATCAAAACTGGTGGCCCTTACCCAGCCGGTGTAGCTCAATGGTTGAGCATCAGCCCACTCACCTAGAGGTCACCAGTTCTATTCCCCGTCAGGGCACATGCCTGGGTTGCGCGCGATCCCCAGTAGGGGGCGTTTGGGAGGCAGTTGATGTTGCCCTCTCATGGATGTTTCACTCCCTCAACCTTCCACTCTCTCTAAAGCAGTGGTTCTCAACCTTCCTAATGCCGAGACCCTTTCATACAGTTCATCATGTTGTGGTGACCCCCAATTTCATTGTTACAAATTGAACATAATTAAAGCATAGTGATTAATCACAAAACAATATGTAATTATACATGTGTTTTCCGATGGTCTTAGGCGACCCCTGTGAAAGGGTCGTTTGACCCCCAAAAGGGTCGCGACCCACAGGTTGAGAACCGCTGCTCTAAAGTCAATAATTAAAAAAAAAAAAAGACATTAAACAAACAAACAAACAAACAAAAAAACCCTGGTAACCTGTTTTGGAGTGCCCAGGTGTATTTAATTTGTCTTACACGGGGTCTAAATGTTTTTTTGAAAGATTTTTTTAAAGAATATTTTTATTGATTTCAGAGAGGAAGGGAGAGGGAGAGAGAGATAGAAACATCAATGAGGAGAGAGAATCATTGATTGGCTGCCTCCTGCACGCCCCCTACTGGGGGATCCAGCCCTCCCCCGGACCAGAAATGGAACTGTAGTCTTTGCTCAACCACTGAGCCACATGGGCCAGGCTAAAATGATTTAAAATTTCATTACCACCTGTATGCCAGCGCGGTACAGGTTGTATCCTGGGGAGCCTGCTGCTGTGCAACCTTATACAAGTTCCTGAACCTCTCTCTGCTCAGTTCCCAATCTGAACATGTAGACGGTGATAACACCTTGTGTGACAAAGAAGTGAGTTCGCTTGGGAAAATGCCTGACACAGAGTGAGTGCTATAATTATTTACAAGCCAGGGGCTTTCAAAAAACCAGCGATCTGGCTTTCCCCGGATAGCAACACTTGGCTGGAGCTGCGTAGCTGAGAGCTACCCTTTTCGATGGATGGGGTATGTGCCCCCTCCAGTGTACCTCAATTTCCACCACTCCCAAGGTCCGAATAATACAGTATTACACTATTATTAACAACCCTAGACGTTTCTCTTCCTGAAAAACCAATAGGAATGACCTCGTTGGGAAGGCAGGAAATGGTGAGAACAGGGCTGATGATAACATCAACAGACAGGCATCAAGGCATTGTTCCAAGCACCTTAAGTGGATGTATCGATTCAGTCCTCACAACACACCAGAGAAGTGGGCATTAGTAACCCCATTTTAGAGATTGGGAAACTGAGGCCAAGGAATGTTAAGTGGCCTGTCCAGGATCACACAGTCAGCCTGGGCCACGCACAGCCACAACCCCTGTGACCTCCCGGTTCCTTTAGCTCATTACAGGCCTACAGACGTCCTAGGCGTTTCACTTGAACCTCAGCAACTGAGTTTTCTCCACCCTCAGAAGCGCCAAAGAGCTCAGGGATGGAGTCACAGAAATTCAGACCTGGAAGGACCCGGGCACAGCAGGGCCGGAGGTGGAGGTGGGGGCAGCTCTTAGGTTGCACCGAACCCCACTCCATGCGGGAAACACCCTTGGTGTGGCTTCCGGGAGCCTACCCCCTCCAGGCGCTCCTTCCTGCCTCTGGCTGCTCCTGTCCTGACCCCACTTTTGCTCCAGGGGGTTGTTCCCCCAGGGTGTTCCTGGGACCCCTTCTGTCTCACCTTTCCATGGCTGTGATTACTGTCTGAGGGCTGGTGGCCCCTAAATGTGGTGCCTGAGCTTCTTCCACGTGTCCCCCCGACATCCCCGGGACCCCTAGCCTTCTCACTCCCATCCAGTCCTGCACAGACCTCTGTCATCATCTCCTCCCTTCCACTGAGTCACTCAGCGCAGACGCCTGGGAGGTGTCCTGCTTCCTCCCACTTCCCCCGGCCCGTCACAGTGCCCGGTGCCGTCTGCCCTGGAATGCCTCCTGCCCACCCAGTTGTCCCCTGTGGGCCCCAGCATCCTGCTCAGGTTCTGCCATTAAACCCCTATCAGCCTCCCCAGCCCGCCCCCAGCACACACTGGGTCCTCACCTTCCCCAACAGGGGGAATCCCCCGATAGCTCTGTGCAGGGCCCGGATCTCCTCAGTGGGTCCCGTGATGAGAGATGTGCCTGTGTCCAGAATGGCAGGACAGCCCTGGGCACAAAGAGTCAGCCCTGTGCCCACCGTCACACTGGGATGTAGAAGGGGGCAGTCATTAGAGCCAGTGTCCTAGGAGTCCAGGCCCCCAGCCCCTCCTCCCTCAGACCCAGGGGTCCAGGCCCCCAGCCCCTCCTCCCTCAGACCCAGGAGTCCAGGCCCCCAGCCCCTCCTCCCTCAGACCCAGGAGTCCAGGCCCCCAGCCCTCTCCTCCCTCAGACCCAGGAGTCCAGACCCCCAGCCCCCTCCTCCCTCAGACCCAGGAGGCCAGGCCCCCAGCCCCTCCTCCCCTCAGACCCAGGAGTCCAGGCCCCCAGCCCCCTCCTCCCTCAGACCCAGGAGTCCAGGCCCCCAGCCCCTCCTCCCTCAGACCCAGGAGTCCAGGCCCCCAGCCCCTCCTCCCTCAGACCCAGGAGTCCAGCCACCAGCTCCTTTCCCGCCAGGACACTGGAGAGCAATCTCAACACCCCCGCCCCCCAACACCCACCCCTGCCAACCTAGCAGGCAGCTCCCTCACCGCTCCATGTGGATCTGCCAGTAGGCAGGGACCGTGACTGGCACGTAGGTGAGGGGCGGGATGTAGTGTGCTGGGTCCGAACCACCCAGAACCAGCTCTCCTCCTTCGGCCGCTTCAGGGTCCCTGCAGAGACAAGAGTGCTGCAGTGTCACCGGAGTTTGCCCTGCCAGCCCCCAGCCCCCCCCCGCCCCCCCAGAGTGGCCAGGGGAGGGACTTTCTGACAATGGGGTGGTTTCTGGGCTCTAGCTGTGCAGTGAGATGCAGGCAGGGCCTCCGTGTTGGAACTGGAAGTGAGAAGAAGTGTAGCATTTCTTGGTATGAGGATTTTAAAAAAATACATTGTTATTGATTTCAGAGAGGAAGGGAGAGGAATAGAGATAGAAACATCATCGATGAGAGAGAATCATGGATCAGCCGTCTCCGGCACGCCCCCTAGTGGGGATAGAACCCACGACCCTTTGGTCCGCAGGCCGATGCTCTATCCCAGGGGTGGGCAACCTTTTTGTGAGTGCGTGCCAAAACCAGCAAAATCTCCGACTCAAAATTCTCCTGCGTGCCAGCCCTAATTTTTTGAGAACATGTTATGCCTACTTGATATCTCTTAAGGTGTACGTATGTGAAGAACCTTGAAGAAATAATAAAATTCATTCGAGCGACAAAAACACAGTATATGATGATGAAAAACACATTTATTTTTTAATGTATACATGTTATGTAAAATTATTTATTTATCTAAGATGCACCTACACTGAATTTATCTGAAAAATAAAAAAGTCGATATTAAGAAAAAAATTGTAAATGGAAGATTATAAGAGAGGGTTTCGCGTGCCAGCAAAAGTTACTGGCGTGCCATGTTTGGCACGCGTGCCAGGGGTTGCCCACCCCTGCTCTATCCACTGAGCCAAACCAACCAGGGCAGTGTTGAGGATTTTATGGTCTTGCAGGCTGCCTGGGGTGGGAGTGGGACTTCCTGATTTGGCTGTGGGAGGTAGAACTTTTGGGGGTACATTTTAATGAGTTTATTTGAGCTAAAACTGACACCATAGGCCAGGGAGCAAGATCTCAAATGTTCCTTGGGTGGGGGGGCGGAGCGTGGATTTAAGTGGAGCATTGGGGTTTCTGGCCTGACTCTGAAGGTGTATGTGATTGTGGTAGAGTGGGGTGGCTTCCTAGTGGATGGGGAGACTATTTGAATTCCATGTCTTGCAATTCAGAGGCCATAGCTTTCCTGAGTTGGCTGAGAGTGATGGGGGTAGAGGGCGGGACTTCCTGGAGGTGTGGGAGGGCAGGATCTACTAAGTGGGTTACTCCTGAGTAGGTTAAGGTCAGAATCACTGAACGGGCGTAGGACTTTTTGTCTGTGAGAGATGGGCCTGGGCAGGAAGGGGGAGACCCCCTGGACTGTCTGAGCATAAAGCTGAGCTTCCTAAGAGGTGAGTGGGTCTTCTTGGATTAAAACGGGCAATTCCTGCCCTGGCTGGTTTGGCTCAGTGGATAGAGCGTTGGCCTGCGGACTGAAGGGTCCCGGGTTCAAGTCCCGTCAAGGGCACATGCCCAGGTTGCGGGCTCCATCCCCAGCGGGGGGCCTGCAGGAGGCAGCCAGTCAATGATTCTCTCTCATCATTGATGTTTCTGTCTCTCCCTCTTCCTTCCTCTCTGAAATCAAGAAAAATGTATTTTAACAAATGGGCAGTTCCTGACTTCTGGAGTGTTCTCCACTGGAAAGCGGGCTTTCTTTACGGTGAAGAAGGATTCTTAACTTGAGTATTTGACTGGTTCGGGCGTGGAATTCCCCGCTCTGAGTTGGAAACACGGAGGTTTTTAACTGATGGTGAGTTTCTTGAGTATATTTTTGGGTGTTGCTTAGTGAGTGGGACTTATCTATCGGGGTCAGGTGTTTCTTATATGGGGTATGTGAACTTGCTGTGCTGGGTGGATGACATCCTAGACCCGTGGTCGGCAAACCGCGGCTCGCGAGCCACATGCGGCTCTTTGGCCCCTTGAGTGTGGCTCTTCCACAAAATACCACGTGCGGGCGCGCACGTACAGTGCAATTGAAACTTCGTGGCCCATGCGCAGAAATCGGTATTTTGTGGAAGAGCCAGTTATTTTGTGGAGGAGCCACGCTCAAGGGGCAAAGAGCTGCATGT